ACTTGAAGCTAAGGATTCGGGAAAACTTCCATCTCAAACGGAGTTGAATCCTAAGCAACAAGCCAACGCTATTACATTGAGAAATGGCAAGGAGCTGAAAGAGACTGAAATTGCAACTAAGAGGGCTGAAGAGTTGATTGGAGCTGAGGAGAAGGAAGTGGAACATGAAGCTGTAGCAAATCCTCCCACTTTTCCATCTTATGAACCCACACCACCTTTTCCTGAAGCTTTGAAAGAAACGAAGAGGTATGAGAAGGACAAAGATATCTATGAAACATTCAGCAAGTGTGAGGTAAACATTCCCCTTTTGAATTTAATAAAGAGTGTTCCTCGATTCGCTAAATTTTTGAAAGAACTTTGTACTATTAAGAGGAAGCACAGGTTAGGAGGGAAGGAAAAAGTGAAAGTCAGTGCTCATGTTTCTGCAGTTTTCCAAAAGAAACTTCCTGAAAAATGCAGTGACCCTGGTATGTTTACTGTTCCAGTTACAATAGGGGACACCACTTTTCATAGAGCAATGTTGGATTTGGGTGCATCAATTAATGTTATTCCATATTCACTGTTCAAATCTTTGGAACTTGGACCCTTACATGACACCGGGGTAGTGATTCAATTAGCTGATAGATCAAATGTTTATCCTAAGGGAGTAGTGGAAGATGTGCTTGTGAAAGTTGATGAACTAATTTTTCCTGCTGATTTTTATGTGCTTGATATGGAACATGATAGACAAGCAGTACCCATCTTGTTAGGAAGACCTTTCTTGAAAACTGCTAGGACTAAAATTGATGTTTTTACTGGTTCTTTGACTATGGAGTTTGATGGACAAGAAATTGTGTATAACATCTATGATTCCATGAAATACCCTGTTGACACTCATTCTTTGTGTTCCATTGATATCATTGATCCTATAGTGCAGGATGTCTTCAATGTTGAGGGCGAGGATGCGCTCCTCACTTCCATTTCTAATGATTTATCTGCTGATTGTTTGGATATTCCTTTGCCTAATAGTGTGCAGATGATGGTAGCAGAGTTGAATGGTCATTCCAAGCTTCCACTTAGACCACCAGGTTCGACACCTACCCCATTGACAGTGCCTACTGATAAACTCTTACCTTCTGTTTTGCAGGCACCCCAGGTGGAGCTCAAACCACTTCCTGATCATTTGAAATATGTGTTCCTTGGTCAGAACGATACTTTACCTGTTATAATTTCAAGCAAATTGACCAAGGAGCAAGAGGACAAGTTGGTGACAGTGTTGAAAGAGCACAAGTTAGCTATTGGATGGACCATTGCAGACATTAAGGGAATAAGTCCATCCACTTGCATGCATCGTATTCTGTTAGAAGATGATGCCAAACCTGTGAGGCAACCTCAGCGTCGCCTAAATCCCCCCATGATGGACGTGGTAAAGAAGGAGATCATAAAATTATTGCAAGTAGGAATGATATTTCCTATATCTGATAGTAAATGGGTCAGTCCTACGCAGGTGGTTCCTAAGAAAAGTGGTGTGACTGTGGTAGAAAATCAACAGGATGAACTGGTTCCTACTAGAGTTCAAAATGGTTGGCGAGTTTGCATTGATTATCGTAGGTTGAATGCAGTAACTAGGAAAGACCATTTCCCTTTACCTTTTATTGACCAAATGATTGAAAGACTTGCAGGGAAATCCTATTACTGTTTCCTTGATGGGTATTCTGGGTACTTTCAAGTGCCCATTGCACCTGAAGATCAGGAAAAGACAACTTTTACATGTCCTTTTGGCACATTTGCTTATCGCCGTATGCCTTTTGGCCTATGTAATGCACCTGCAACCTTTCAGAGATGCATGATGAGCATCTTTTCTGAGTTTGTTGAGCATTTCATGGAGGTATTTATGGATGATTTCACTGTGTATGGTGATTCTTTTGATAAATGCTTGCATCACTTATCTATGGTCCTCAAAAGATGTATTGACTCTAACCTTGTCTTGAATTCTGAGAAATGTCATTTTATGGTCCAACAGGGCATTGTGTTAGGTCATGTAGTTTCTTCTAGAGGTATTGAGGTTGATAAGGCTAAGATTGACACTATTCAGTCTCTCCCTTATCCTACTAATGTGCGTGAAGTGCGTTCTTTTCTTGGCCATGCAGGTTTCTATCGTAGGTTCATTGAGGGATTCTCAAAGCTTGCAAATGCTATGTGCAAATTGCTGCAGAAAGATGTGAAATTCCACTTTGATGATGATTGCAAGAAGGCTTTCGACGAATTGAAGGCTAAGCTCATTTCTGCCCCTATCATTCAAGCCCCAGATTGGTCTCGACCATTTGAGATAATGTGTGATGCGAGTGATTATGCAGTTGGAGCTGTTTTAGGCCAGAAAGTAGGGAGGGCATCTCATGTGATCTATTATGCCTCAATGACCCTCAATTCAGCCCAACGAAACTACACTACCACAGAAAAAGAGTTGTTAGCTGTAGTATTTGCTCTAGAAAAGTTTCGATCTTATTTGCTTGGTACTAAAGTAATTGTTTTCACTGATCATGCAGCTCTTCGCCACTTGATGACGAAGAAAGAGGCCAAACCAAGACTAATAAGATGGATTCTGCTCTTATGTGAGTTTGAGTTAGAAATCAAGGACAAGATAGGCGCGGAAAATCTAGTTGCTGATCATTTGAGTCGTTTGACCCATATTGTTGATCAACCATCATTCCAATATCAAATCCTAGGAGAATTTCCGGATGAATCTCTATTTGCTCTTAAGGATTTGCGCCCTTGGTTTGCTAACATTGTGAATTTTCTGGTTTCTCAACAGTTTCCTCCAGGTTTCACAAAGTCTCAAAAGGACAAGCTTCGAACTGATGCGAAGTACTATGCATGGGATGATCCATACTTGTGGAAGTTCTGCTCCGATCAAATCATTCGCAGATGCATTCCCGAAAATGAGGTGATCCCCATTCTCACCTTCTGTCATTCTCATGCTTGTGGAGGACACTTTGGAGCCAAACGCACAGCAAGGAAGGTTCTCGACTGTGGTTTTTACTGGCCAAGTTTGTTTCGAGATTCCTATGGATTTTGTAAATCCTGTGATAATTGCCAGAGAGTAGGTAACATTTCCCAGAAAAGTGAAATGCCCCAATCCTCTCTTCTATATTGTGAAATATTCGATGTTTGGGGTATAGATTTCATGGGACCATTCCCTATTTCTTACGGTTTTACTTATATACTTCTTGCTTGTGATTATGTGTCGAAGTGGGTGGAAGCAATACCCACTAGGACTGATGACTCTAAAGTGGTTTCAGGTTTTATCAAAGCTTACATATTTTCTAGGTTTGGAATCCCAAGGGCGTTGATAAGTGACCGTGGAACACACTTTTGCAACCGTACAGTGAGTGCTTTGTTGAGGAAGTACTCTGTTCACCACAAAATCTCCACGGCTTATCACCCACAAACCAATGGGCAAGCCGAGGTGTCCAATAGAGAGGTGAAGTCAATTCTGCAGAAAACGGTGAATCCGGATAGGAAGGATTGGAGTTTGAGGTTGGAGGATGCTCTATGGGCGTACCGCACCGCATACAAAACACCTATCGGGATGTCCCCTTACCGCCTTGTCTTCGGAAAACCGTGCCATCTACCGGTTGAGCTTGAGCATAAAGCATATTGGGCGGTTAAGTCATTCAACATGCAAATGGATGAAGCAGGTGAACATCGGAAATTGCAACTCCAAGAACTAGAGGAGATCCGGCTTGAGTCCTATGAGAATGCAGATATTTATAAAGCAAAGACCAAGCTATGGCATGATCGAATGATCACGCGGAAGGAGTTTAAAGTCGGTGACAAAGTACTCCTATATCAATCCCGACTTAGATTATTTCCGGGAAAACTTCGGTCCCGTTGGGAGGGCCCTTTTCAAGTGGTGAATGTATATCCGCATGGAGCAGTTGAAATTCAAAGCCCCGAGACCGATAAGGTTTTCAAAGTCAATGGACAAAGGCTCAAACCCTACTTCGAGGGTTTCAAAACCGAGAACGTGGAGAGCATCGATCTCTACGAGCCATCAATGGAGTAGCGAAGTGGGATGAGCCGCGTCGAGCCAACGACGTAAAACAAAGGCGCTAATCGGGAGGCAACCCGATCGAAAACTCTTCCCCATTACTTTTCGTAGTTTAGTTTTATTTTTTTCGTGTGATGTGAAGAGTGTTTTTATTGTTTTTGTGTAGGTGGAGGCCTTGGGAGCAATTTTTATGCGCGAAACGCAGCAAAAACAGAGCAAAACAGAAACAAAGGGGCCTTCCCTGCAGAAGCCGCTGGCAGCTGCTCTGCAGCCGCTACCAGCGGGTCTTCTTGCAACCCACACCCCTTTGTTTCTGTCCCAGCCGCTGGTAGCTGCTCCTGAGCCGCTGCCAGCGGGCCCCCCTCTACGTTAAAAAAAAAAAAAAAAAAAAAAAAAAAAAAATTGCCACCCAGTGGCCATATTAGTATGGGTGGCATGGTCTCTTTGCTAGCCTGTTATTTGAATGTTCCACCCCCTGAGGATCTTGTGCCAGTAGACTCGACATACTTGACATATAACATCATGACTCTGGTCAAGATCGGTTTATTATCGCGTTCCCCCGTCGCCGGTAGTTATTTCTGGCGATACGGACCGCAGGGTTTGAACTATTTGAGACTTCCTCGTCCCGAGGGACGAGCATTACCTTTTGGCCCTAATGCTGCAGACTTTTTCCTTCCGCCCGACCCGGATGTTGCTCCTTATTTGGGAGATGCTGAAATCATAGTTGAGAACATGGGAGAGGAGAATCCCGATGTTCATATGGGCGGAGAGTTTGTTGATGAGGAAGGGGGTGAGGATGCTGCTGGAGTGCAGCACGATGATTGGCCTCGATGGAGGGCTGATGTGGATGATAGACTAGAGGAGGTGTGCGATGGGATGCAGGAGCTGCTTGCATATCAAAGAAGCATGAGTCGGTTTTACACCACTCAGTATCCGCAGTATGAGCCTCCAACTGAGGCGTTCATGGATCATTTGGCATCCCGTGCTTTGCGTCGTTCCGAGAGGCGTGCTTCTCGGGGCGATGCCGGCTCTTCTGGCTCTGGAGGTCCCTCTCATTGAGATGGTAACGATTCTCTTCCTTTTCCCTTATTTTTGGTTTCATTGTAGTTGTTCTTGCATCGAGGACAATGCTTCATTCAAGTAGGGGGGGGGGAAGAAATTCTTGCATATATTCTTTGAATTTTGTATAGTTATTTTGATTTCATGTTTTGTATAACTATCTTAATTGTGGTTCAATGAAGCAAGCTTGAAAAAAAAAAACAGAAAAATGAAAAGAAAAAAAAAAGAAAAAAAAAAAGAAAAAAAAAAGAAAAAGAAACCCGCTAAGTCGAAAACCTGAAAAGGCGGCTTAGGCAAAAATGGGGGCCCGGTTAGGTTGAAAACCCGAAAGGGCGACCTAAGCAAAAAAGTGGCTAATGAGTGGGTGAGAAAGTGAGATTTGGAAAAAGATGAGAGGCTAGGATGAAAACCCGAAAGGGCTCCTAGGCAAAATGAGAGAAAAAAGAGAGAAATGTTCATGAATTTGATTTTTCAAGGAAATTTCGCATCTATTTGCCGGAGTCGGTGTCATAAGGGGAGGAGATATAAGGAGGTGTCGGGGTAGGTTTCATCTTGGTGATTTTGGGAGATAGTTGAGATTTTGGGGGAATTTGTTGATCATCTTAGGAATTTGAGAGCATGAGTTGTTTGTTTTCACTCTTGAATGTGGAAGTGTTTTTATGAGATTTTTGGTTAAGTTGAGTTTTTGTTTGCCCAATTTTATCAAAAATTTCATTTCTTTAGGCGGTTGAGAATATTCATACTCATGGCTATGCGTTTATCGTTCCAAGTTGATTTTGGGGATGAATTGATAAATAAGAAAAAAGGGAGATTCAAAGTGTGAAGTATGGGGGAGTGTGATTGTGATTGGTTGATAAGTACTAGGATGTTTTGTTGAGTTTGAGTGCATAGAGCTAGTTTGATTCCACCATCTTCTGTTTTGAACCTTAGTGAGGAGGATGTTTTTATTCTCTAAGTTTACTCGAGGGCGAGTAAAGGTTCAAGCATGGGGGAATTTGATAAGCCTTCTTATCATGGGTTGAGAGAAGCATTTTAGGGTGTGTTTTGATGCTTTATATGTACTTTTGTTAGCTTTTGTGAGTTTTGACTCATCGTCCCATTTATGTGCAAAAGAGGGAAATTATGAGTGAAAGTGAGTGAGTTGAGCTCGGGAATGAAGTGAAGAGTACTATGAGTAGGCGGACCTTGGATGATGATTTGAGAGTGTATGAAGCATGGCTTGTTGATTCACAAGGAGGCAAGAAAGCAAGTTTGAAGAAGCTAGAAGAAGGTTCAAAGCAAGGAAGAAGGAAAAAACAGTAGTGAATTGCTGCCAGGGCAGCTGGCAGCTGGCCAGAGCCGCTGGCAGCTGCTATTCCAGCATACGAAGGCTTCCAAGGCTGCCAGAGCCGCTGCCAGCGGGTCCAGAGCAGCTGGCAGCGGCAATCTCAGTTTTTGCGCAATTTTTGGCTTCTTTTTCAGCAATTTTGGCTTTGTTTTGGCACGTGTTTGGATATTATTTTATTATTATTATTGTGTTATGTTATTAAAATATAGAAACATATAAATAGCTTAGTTTTAATTAAGTTTTTGGGAGAGAAAGAGGAGAATTAAGTTTGGAGAAAAAAAAGCTTTCTAGGGTTTTCTTGGAATTTTCAGAATTCTTTGTTTTGGAATTAGAATCCATGGAAGCTTAATCTTCCGGATTCTTGGTTAAAGATTGAAGCTTTTGGCTACGAATTGTGAGATCTTTCTTCTCTTAATATCTATTGAATATATATTGTTCCTTGAATTAATTTCATGATTTGCTTTAATCAATTGCTAGGTTAGAATTATTGGATTCGCTTGCATCTAATTAATCTTTCCAAAGTAGCAACTTTAGGTTATTGATGCATGCTTTTGGTTGATAACTTGAAGAGGGAATAATATTATTGAAGAAATTAGACCGCTTGTGTTAATTTATTCAATCCTTGTTGATTTCTCCGTTTATTTTCTTCTTGTGGATAATTTAGAGCGCTTGTCTTGAATTGTGCATTGGAAAGGGTTAGAAAGGAGCGCTTTGCTATTTCTAACTATTTATGAGAATTTAGAATCTAGGAATTCTACAACAAGGTGTTCAATAGAGCTTGATTGAGGAGACTTCTATGATCAATTTGTATGTTCATTAGTGGATTTCGCATAACCAAGACCGTTCTTCTCATTGATTACCTATTCATTACGTTCGTTGTTCTTACTTAGTTCATTTATTATCATTGCTCGTGAAAACCCCCCTCGTTACTTAGGTTACTACCGTCCTAGAGTATTTCCACTTAGGTTTCCAGTTATTAGTCCCTTTTTCCCTGTGGATTCGAACTCGACTTCCCTAACTACGTTTATTTGCAGTTAGCTTAGTTGTGATATTTTTGGTTGCATACGACTGAGGCACACCATTCCTCAACTTCCAATTTGATTGGCCACCCTGAAAACCACCGTCTCTATAATCAAGCTGATTTTGCGCGGAGAACGGGTTATCCCATTGACCACCGTTGGGGTCACGATGGCCTGGCAGTCACCACGGAGGAGCGAACCTCCGTTCGGATAGCATTGATGTCAGTTTTGACAGCAAGCTAGAGCAGTAGCTATCTCCTGAGCTACCCTTGCCGGAATCCCAGCAAGCTCCTGCTCCATCAAGTCCATGCGTTGCACATTGGTAAGTTGTGCCATTGTCTTCTTCGGCTCCGATCGTCACCGCTCTGATACCAATTTGCTAGAGATTAGTACAAAAACAAAACAATTAAAGCAGAGTAAGGAAAATAGCAGGCCAAAATTATGATAGATTGTATTGCAAGTCAGAGAAACCATAATACAACTCCTTTCTTTCGAGAGGAAAGGATGCTCTCCAAGGAAAGATTTCCACCAGATCTAGATGCCTTTCCCCTTCACAATCCCTCTTAAATACACAAAAATAACCAATAATTAGAAATAACAAACTCATCACACAAAACAAGGACTAACAAACTTATCCCCTTGATTATTGATTTACCCCTCCTTGTAACTAACTTCCAGCCATCATTCCAGCTCAAGTTCTCTTATCAGGCCCTTGTTTGGGCTTCCTCCTTGCAATTGTGAATCGCACCTCACGTCTGGTCTCTTGAATGGTAGTGACTGGTTATCGGATTTTGGAGGGGAGGGGTGGTGGAGGTCGGTTGTGGAGCTGCTGCATTATTTATGGTGCAGTCATGAAGGTTTGAAGGGAAGAAGAAGAAAAGAAAAAAAAAAAACTCTTTTTTTTAAATGTAAAAGTTTTGTTTAATTTTTTTTAAAAATTTTTTTGGACCAATCACAACCCGACACGCGTCAAGTAACCTGAAATACCGGGTCATTGACTTTTGTGGACCGGTTTGGGATTGAAGAAAGAAAACACAAGTGAAAGTTGGGATTATTGTGGAATAATCAAAGTTGGGATTATTTAAAAGTAAATTGAGCAAACTTGGGATTATTAAAGTGTAATTTTCCTATTTTGTAGCATTAATGCAATATTATTTTTTGTTCAATTAGATAATCGGTATTAGTGCTAAGTAAAATTGTTTGTCCATCCTTAGTTCTCAGATGACCTGATATGATTGCCATGAATTAACATTTAAGGCTTTTCTTACTATCTATATCATCGTATGTATGACGTCATTATCTCTACTATTGTAGGAGCTGGGTTTCTGACTGCAAGTTGGGCATTTGGTAAATCTGTAAACACATGTGCTGATCGTATTCTGAAAATGGATGGGAGTCGGATGCAGTATGAGCTGGAAAAAATGTAGGTACAGTGTCTCACACTACTTAATTTGTTTTCTAGCATTGTTAATTTTGAAATGGGCAATCATGATTCATTGAAACTAACTTTGGATTTGATGGTATTGCTGGCTTTGTATGTCTCTTAAGTATTTAATCAACATATTGCATTTCAGAAAAAGTAACTTAGGGTACTTGTGGGCCTTGTGGCTTTGCTTTATGTTTAATTTCTACATCTTCCCATGACTTTCATATGCTTCATTTGTGATACACCCTCACTCTTGAGCAAGAACACTAAAGACCACTCAGCATACAAAGAGCTATGTTGAATTTGTCTGGATTCTGTTAGTGACATAATTTGGAAGGTACTTGGCTCAATGGTGGAAGTGTGATTTCTCTTTATCTTTTGTTATGGAACAAAAGTTGGAAGGTTCTTGATTGCCAGCACTTGATTTTTGAGGTTATTTATGATTTGGGGTTGGGGAGGGAAGAGGCTGGAGGTTTCAATGCTTGGAGCTTGGAAGTTCATCCTTTGCAAAATCGTTTTGTATTCTGCTATATTATGATGATTATTAAGAAATGGAACATAATGACCTGCTTCCATATTTTTCAGATTTTGGGGCCAGAACACCAATTGGGCATTATATCATATGGGTATTATATCTGGCAACAATTAAGTAATAAAAAATTGGCTCACACTTGTGTTAGCTTGGTATTTTGGTGTATTGGTTAGTGTTTCAATTTTCATCATTATTCTTTGATTTGCCCTCCACTGAACTTTTTCCCTTCATTTACCAAAAACTCTTAAAGGCTAAAATTAATGGAGTTTTATTTTACTAAATATATGATTCTCCAGGCCCCAACATATTCTTATTATAACTAATTAGTAAACCCTAATTTAATACCCCTAATTTTGAAGTTATGAGTAAAACGTAATTGGTATCTGAGACTCAAGAAATAGTTGCAAAATTGCATTCAGTAAATAAAATACACGAAGTAGAATTAACATAGTTGTTCTTCTGATCCTCGTATTTTGGGAAGGAACTATCACCAGGATTCTTTCTTCAACTTTTTTGCTTTTCTGCTTTGCTGGTCAATATCAGTTTTGTTTCCTTGTTTCTTTAACCCAATCTCTTTGCTCACCATTAAAATGTCCTTGGCAAGTTTCTCCTTGATATTGCCTTTAGTAGATTTGAGCATACCATATAGCTCAGTCAAGTTTTTCTGCATTCCGTTATAACTTATTTTGATGTTCTGAATGTGTCCAGAAGCGAATGTGGATTTGTTTGTGGAAAAGCGAATGTGGATTTGTTTGTGGAAAAGCCAAACAAAGGCGCTCATAAAACAAATTAAACATGTTATGAGCATGAGGACTGCCTCAGTCTTATAGCTTTAGTTGCTGCAAAATTCTAACCTGCTTTTTAAACAAGCTTTTGATTTCGTGGTTGATAGTGTATGCATCTTACTTCAGAAACTCCTTTTGCAAATCAGGGGTGGTTGTGAAGTTGGTGATTGGGATGTTATGATTCGTAGATATGGTGTTGGTGGTGGTGTTAAGTTATATATATTTGGAGGGATGGTTGTAGTGGAGAGGGGAGTCGGGTTGGTGGTGGTGGCTACCATGGGAAAAGGGGAGGATGAAGAGAGAGAGGGAGTGAATAAAATTGTAAATGTTCATGACTTGTGGTGGATTAAAGTCAGGGAAATAATGCTGTATATGGTAGGAGTATAATTAATGTTAGGGGGTATTTTGGTGGGTAATATTGTTTAAAGTTGGGGTAAAACTCTAATTTTAGACAATAAAAAAGATCCATTTTGACATATTTTTGAATTGCAAGTTAAAATTCAAAGGAAGTAGATTTTCAGAGGCTACGTTTCCTTTTGCCTAAAATATCATTGACACTTGTCTGACTTGTGTTTCTTTAACCTTTTATGTTTTATGCAATAACAATTATGTAGAGCTAGTAAAAGGTTTTACTACTGTCTATGTAGAGCTATGCTTTCATTTTCCGAATCACTATATAAAAAAAGGCATGCCAAATGTTCAAGGCTTCAAGCAGAGTATTCTTGGTTTTTTGTTTTTAGTTTTTTTTTTTTTTTTAATCCCTGTCTCCAATTTCAATATAGATAGATATGAAGTCCAAGTTTCATGCCGCCATTTAATGTTTGTTGAGTAGACAAAATCTTATAGATGATGCTGAGCTATTGATTATAAATGCAGAATACTGGAGAAGTATGGCAATGATCCTGAGAAAATGAAGCCTTTCTCCAAGTATTTCTACCGTGAAGAAATATTTAATGATTCAACCCCTGGATGTTCCAAACCAATATATCGGCAACAGCATCTGCATGTCGATAATCACCGGACAACTGATGACAATATGAACCATGAGTCTGCTAAGAAAGGTGTATATCATCAACAGAGAAAGGATGATTCTAACGTCAACCTGAGAAGCCCTGGTGTGGAGAATAAACAATCCTCTGTAAGTGCATGCTCATGATTTTTTACATTATAATATGAACACAATTAGTCTTTTTATATCTACAATGCAAATATAATTGTTGAAAATTTTAATCCAACATAAAAAAATTATTTTTAGAGAAATTATAAAATTAAAATAAAAATTACATAAAGGAAACTAAAAATTGGATAAATAAAAAACGTTGATGATACTATATTGTACCAAAATTAAAGAAATATACTTTATAATTTGAGAAAACTAAGTCAATCATAGACTACATAATCATTAAAACATTGTGGTTGTCAATATTTCAAACGACCACTATAAAACTTTCATATAATTTGCTGCTTTCGTTTTCCATGTTCTCTTTTATGGAATATTGATTAGTGCGGTAAGTAGTGATTTTGATGACCTCTGCTTGAAATTTGACTTGTTGCCATCTCCTACCAAAGCAAATGAGTCATTAAGTATCATACTTTGTGATGAGTGTAGCTAGAGTTTTTTTTACTCGTATGTTGTAGATCCACAATTGATTGCTTTAATAAATTGTATTACTTATATTTGGTGGCTCTTTAGCCCTTTAAGATAAACATTAGCTGAAATACTAAATAATGAGGCTAAGTAAATTTTTATCGAACTGCCAGTTTAGCTCTGATCTGATACAAGAATATAATAGTAGAACAGCTGGTGATTTCTCTTCCAGTTGAAACAAGAATTACACTCAACCAAGGCCTGATGACCGTTACCTTAATGCTCATACTCTGCTTCAATCTACTGATCGTATCCCAGCTCTCTCATTTCTGCAACTTTAAGCCTAGGGCTTATACCTAACTGCCTCTATACTTCTTTTGAAACTTTGAAAGTTCCAACTGTGAGATGAATAATACGGATCTTTTGAGGCATTTTGAATGACTAAACTAAGAATTATATCTGAACTTATTCGGCCTGATCAATTTTACAATTATTGCATTTAACCGTCCTTATCTGAACTTATTTGATCCAAAACTTATTAGAGCAACTCCAATAGTTGCTTTTGGGGACTAGCTTGCAATTTTTATATTTTTCAAGCTAATAGCCAAACAATTGGAGGATAATTCAATAATTAGAGCATCTTCAATGGTAAGCTACAAAGGCTTGTAGCTTGCTTTGTCGTGTTAACTTTTAAAGCTACAACCTATTTAAGCTACAAAGTACTCCAATGGCAAGCTACAAGAAGTTGTTGCTTGATTTGCCACATCATTATTTCAAGCTACAAAGTACTCCAATGGTTGGCTATATAATTTGTAGCTTTCATGTAATACTTTATTTACTATACTATATGAGGTGAAAATTTCATTGCTATTTTACTTACTTTTACCAAAAAAATTCTAAATTATAATATAATTTCATAAGTTGTGTCTGCTATTAATATTAAAAATTTATATGCAATAATATAATTTCATATAAGTTGTTTTGTACTCGTATTATAAGACGACTTGCTTGCGATTTGATTATTTAAGCTTATACGAAGTATTTAATATTTTCATCAAGAGAATTGATAACCTTTTCCATTAAAAAAAGAAGTATTGATAACCTTTCTCCCTAAATTTATTTGCATATTTTGTAATAAACATTTGACAATACACTAAATAAAACTAATTAACAAAACAACATTCCTTAAAAAAAAAAAAAAAAAAAAACCTAGCAACTTAAGATCAATTCAAGTTATAGCTACCAAAACGTGACCAAATATGCTCAACTAAATCAAGCCTTTAACGGTGATGCATTTGTCTATCTCGGATTGTTGCATCTCTTTCAAGATATGACTCAAACTTTGTGAAAATTCATCGTTAGAAAAGTTTTTGTTATAAGAGTGACGCTCGTCTTCAACAATCATATTGTGTAATATAATACACGCATCCATAATATCGTGGATATTGCATTTATGCCAACGTGCAGGCCTACGAATTATAGCAAAACGAGATTGGAGTACCCCAAATGCCCTCTCAACATCTTTCCTTGCACTCTCTTGCTTTTCCTTAAACAAAAGCCTCTTCGGGTCCCGAGGATGTGAAATTTTTTTAACAAATGCAGCCCACTCAGGATATATACCACCAACTAGATAATATCCCGTTTCATACTCGGTGCCATTAATGGTAAAATTAACCACCGGAGCTTGTCCTTGCAATTTCTCTTGAAACAAATTTGATCTACATACCACATTAAGGTCGTTGTTGGATCCAGCAACATCGAATATGCGTGCCAAATCCATAGATCTATTGAGGCCACATCTTCAAGCATTATTGTTGGATATCCATAATCATCTCAAGTGTATTGTCCTTTCCATCTACTAGGGCAATTTTTCCATGCCCAATGCATACAATCAAGACTTCCAAGCATGCCCGGAAAGCCATGGTATTCCTCATGCATTTTAAGCAATCGTTGGACATCATTAGCATTGGGACTTCTCAGGTACACCTCTCCAAATATTTCAATAACACCACGATAAAATTTAAATAGACGCTTCATAGCCATGCTCTCACCAATCTTGATGTACTCGTCAACAGCATCAGCTGCAGTTCCATAACCTAATATGCGAATAGCAACATTGCATTTTTGAAGAGGGGACAAACCCATTCTTTTTGCAGCATCAAACCTTTGTTGAAATATTCAATGTGATTTTTTAAGGCCTCCACTATTCGATTGAAGACCTCTCTCCTCATACGAAAACGTCTTCGAAAAACATGTTCCGGATATACTGGTTGTTCAGAAAAATAATCTTTGTATAAACGTTCTTCACCACCTTCACGATCACGAGGAACAACCTCTCTCGAGGGTGTTTCATATTGTGAGATTTTGTATCGCCCGATTTCTTCATGTGATTCATCAAATAATTGCTCTTCCCAAAATTTATCCCAATCAAAGTTACTACTTGTAGAATTTGGACTTTCAGGCATTTTAAATTGGTAATATATGTATATATTAGTTGAGAATTAAAGGATAGAATGAATGTTTACATGATGAAATTAAATGCAAGAAAATATAAAGGTGATAACATATACGTTAATACAAGTATATATGCTACTTACTAATGTTTATATACATTTTATATTTTAGTTGATTTCCTTCAAATGTTAGTGCTAGTTTAGCTCCACAAATCCTGGAGACAAAAGGGTGAGGAGGAATTAGTACTATGTAAATTCCTTTGCTAAATATAGTTCTGTATGACCATGTATTCTACTTTCCCTTCAATTGATCTACTACTTTCCCGATCAATTTACTTGATGACTTAGATTTATTTATTTATTGTTTTTTTTTTTTTTTGACAAGGACTTAGATTTATCATACATGATTTATAATTACAAAAGTTAGTCGAGTAATAATTAAAGTTGTTGTATACATATATAATGCTCTCGTAAAAACATAAACGTGTCAACTGAAAAAGGTGTCATTATATACATATAGCATACAATCGTAAAAATATAAATAATATAAAAGACATACTCATGTCGACTAAAAATCGGAACAAGCATATACTACTCTCTCTATCTATATATATTTATTCAATCCAAGTTTTTGTATGTATATAACAAACTTTCGTAACAATGCATATAAATGATAAGTCAAAGTTAGTCGTGAGTGTTGTTCGTAACAACCTTTCAATTTTCTTGAAAAAAGTGCCCATTTTTCAGGGGAAATGGCATTATATATGCATTTTACAAAACGAATATGGTATGAAGAGTATGAACTAAAATGAGTTTTATGAATTGAATTTTTTTTGTTGTTAAATAATGGATTTTATTGTAAGGTCTAAATAATGTGTGGAAACAACAACATTTATAGTGGAATGGTACTGAGATTTAATTGATTTTCTTAGGATTGTTTTACTTCATATCAATATTTAAATCTAATTATCCTAATTAGGTATATTGGTCCAATGGTCCTACATTCTACATACTTAAGTTTGGTCCTATAAACTTTCGTAACAACCTTTCAATTTCTTTCTCCAAATTTTTTTTCTTTTCATTGGTTAGCCGTGAGCTAGTGTTGGGTGTTATATATATATATATATATATATTTGAACTTAGACGAACGTCCACTCTTTTGAAAAAATGAAATACTGAAGGCAAAAAACAAGAAGTAGCAAATTAAAAACAAAGCTTTAACCACTAATGATAAAAAAATAACAAAGAGATTAAGAATGCTACAAAACTTAATACATAACATTAATAATAAATTAAACATTACATAATAAATGGAAAAGTCTTATAAATTGCTTATTGAGTTCAACCGAAAACACCTAAAATACCGTCCTCTAATAATAAAAAAAAAAAAAATTAAAATACTTGACTCTGTAGTCATCATATTTATTTGATTTGTGATTATGACATTCCATACTTGGCCTTAATGATTTCACATACTTGATCATGATTTTTTCTAGCTTTTTCGTCCATATTAGATGTCTCCTTGCAAAGTATCACGAAATCTTGTTGTCGAATGTGTTCTTCGTACAATGAAAGTCTTTTTGACTGTATATCTTGATAATTACCCCATTTCTCGTCAAGATGAGCTGTTTTTCCTTTCACTTTACTTTTATTCCTCGCACTTGCTTTAGCCGCCTTTTGTCCTATTGGTCGTTTATCTCTCCTTTTCACGTTATCAATTTCACTAGTATTAGGATTTGAGGAAGAGGTAGTGTTATCTTTAGGAATAGAAATCTTTGTTCTTTTGTGTAACTACTTTGTGTAGAAACATAATCCTTCCACTTCGGGGCATTTTGAAGAATTTTCCAAGAATGTAAATAAGTAAATTTTTCTTTTTCTTGTTTTCACTTTTGCTAGTAAAAAGTTTTAGGGCATTACTAATCATTTGTTCATCGTCATTGCCACTTGGGTGACCACTTTTAATCTGTATATAACACCCATTGAACTTACTAACCTCAGGACTCATTTTATACCAGTGATTTGTGGCTTGCTCAATGGTTATTGGAGGGCCTTCCCTTCTCTAATTGTTATAATACTCTACAAGATTTTTCCAATAATCCACCTTTGATGGGTGCCTTTGATAGAATCAGTTGTGAAATCTATCCAACTATTACATAAATCTTCATCCATGTATTGAGTCCAAGAAAGCTCGACTTACTAGTAGCAGCTTGTGCATTTACCTCCTCTTGTATATTATCACTGTGAGGAGTGTTTGACTCTATTTGAGACCTTTGGAGTGATGTTATTTGGTGCATATTAGAGGCCCCTACAGATTCTCTTCTTGTAGTATCATGAACCACATTAGATTCACTTGGAAATGGAGGTTAAGGATAGTAGCTTGACATATTGTCTTGCAAATTAGGCATTGTAGTATTTGGATAGTAGTAGCCAGGGTGGTAGTGTCTTTGAGGGTAGGAATTTTTGGAGGTAAAATTTCCACTATTTGATGAATTTCCCTAACCAAAATGTTGACTAAATGGATTATCCGTATCATCCATCTAAATTTTTTTTACTAGGAATTAATCGTAGATATGAAAGTATTTGTAGATTATGTTTTTACGAAATAATATACTGGTTGTATTCTTAAGTTTATAAAACTTATTTATAGATACATTAGCTGATAATTCAAAGTTAGATATGGTTACCAAATATTGTATGTTGGCTAGAATTTTGGCAAAATCTTTTATTGACAAAGTCTAATTTGTTATTATATAAAGTAATCAAAAACTTTAAATTTAAAAATACCTATAATCTTGTACATTCTAGGTACAAGTGAATACTTACGAATGAATGTTAGTAATTTTTTTAAGAAAAAGAATAAAAAAAGTATACCGATAACCTATAAGCTAGGAAGCACATTAGTCAACATCAGCTACATGTCAGTTAAGACTTGTGATAAAGATGGAAATTTTATTTTAAAATGTATTTTTTTAGAAAAAGATAAAAAACAAAAATAAATAAAAAAAAAACAAAAAAAGATGTTGCATTATCTGTTTAGCAATTGTAGATCACGTATAACTCTCAATGAACCGTGTCCCCCACTTTCCAATCTTTAAAAATAATTTATAAATCCTGAAAATTTCAATAGTGCTCCAATGGTCAAGCAACACTATTTTTATTTTTCATAATTGCAAGCAGGTCCTTAAAAAACACCATTGGAGATGCTCTTAGTTTTGCCAAGCAAATTAGCTTGGCTAAGCTAATTAGCTTAGAAATTAATTGTCTCTAATAAAATATTAATTATTTAAAAATATTTTGAAAAAAACCAAATGACAATTAGCTTAACCATTGTGGTATAAATTGGTTAGAAAGAAGAATAACTTTACAATCCTAGGTGGCATGATAAGCTAATTTAACAAATAGCTTGCCACTAGAGTTGCTCTAAGTAGATAGAAAGAACAAAGCCTTTGTTTACTTTAAAATTTTGTACTCAAAACTCAAAAGTATTTCAGTTAAAGCATTCACCTAGTTTATCCGTTTATGGCTCTAAATAGAAGCATAATTGTATTTTCTAAAGTTTTATTTGTGGGTTTGGGGCTTGGTTATTGTTCTCTTATTGACTATCACATCCTGTTATTGGTGATTTAGGAAAACCTTTTTCAAAATTGTCTTGCAACAACAACAACAATAACAATAAAGCCTTAGTCCCAAAATTGAGTTTGACTAACATGAATCAAAATTGGGAACCATCTGAAAAAGGAAATGAGCATAGCAAAATAATCGATTGAATAAACGTTGGAAAAAAAAAGTGTGTAAAGTGGAAAACAAAATGGGTATACAAAATGTACGAGACTTTTAAATGTGTGGTAAGGTGATAAAATCGAGAGGAAAAACATGTGAGTAAAAACATAAAGGTTTGAGAAAAATCTAGCAAAAGAATTGCATCCTCTGTTTTTTTTAGATGCATCATTTTCTATAAATGAAAGTTTTTAATTTAGTTGTATTAATTCTTTTTTCTTATACGAGCAAAGGTATTGATCTCTTTTTCCCCTTCTTTCGTATCCAAGCTTGCATATAGGTTCCGATTCACCTTCGATATGATTTCACGTCTCATAATATCTTTATACTTATCATAATTCTCATCACTCTTGCATTTCCCTAATATCCTTCAATAATGGCAATAAAGTTTCAAAATGGATTTTTTTTCCTCATTTGTTTTATGATCAACACTTTAATTGGTTGATTGATTTGTTTTATGATTGCTACGAGACTATGCATATGAAATTGCTTTTCTTGTCTTTCTATTAGGACTTTAGGACATTGTTATTTAGAAACTGGCTTTTGGCACAAATTTGATAGTGATCATACTTGTTTCTTCAAATGTAAACCTTTATGAATCTCTTGTCAAACATCATGTTGGATTCAATTAGCTAAGTTGTCATCATATAGGACACAGTTCTGTCCTACCGTCACAAATCAGCTGTTGGATTGCTGAGATATGTGTATACAACAATGACCACACATGCAATCTGTTTATAATTTATTCTTATTAATTTTTTTTATTTGGTTGTTATAAAGGAACAATGGCTGATTCTAATGCCAAATTGTCATGGCTGATGTGAGCTTTTTGCAGGTACAACCTGGTATTAGTATATTTGGATATGGAGATCCTCTTGACGTTTTGTTTGGGTATTCATCTACAAATGAGGAGCCTCATCATCTGCCTGATGAATCTGGAAACTCAGCCAAAGTGCAGAGTCGCAGTCAAAAAAGGGCCCACCGTAGGCATAGATTGAGGCATCGTAATCAGGAGACGTTGGCACTTGGGGGATAGTTGATCATTCGCCATCAAGATTGGATGTTGAGTACTGATCGTCAGTTAAGCAGAAAAGGTAAGGAAGAAATGTCCTATATGGAGAAAAACAAGTTTGTATATTGTCATTGCATTTATGTTTCTTGGGTATCCCCTTCTTCTCCAGCTGTTTATATCAAAGAGCAAACAGTTTTCTTTATTAACGTAAACCAACAAAGTAACACGACCAAAAAAAACGATGATGCTCTGTCTGGGAGCACTGTAATTTATGTTAAATCGATTTGCTCATATCTTTGGAATTTGGAGTAGGATTGGTGTTGGTTTATTACTTTATGTATTATAAATTTTTAGGGTAAGAAGATCTATCATACCACGTGGGAACCCGAATGGGTAAGCATGTTAGACATTTTGAGAGAGAAGGAAGGATAAGCAATCCCCATTCTCAGTTGCCCCTAAAAATAAAACCTTTAACTTTAAGATTGAAAGATACAATCTTAACTACTTAATTGGACAACCTATGCTTGGTACGTTGCAAGTCTGCATTGTATTGGAGTTGTGCTGAAGAAGTGAATTTAATTGTAGTCACTTTTTAAAAGAAATTATACTTCCCCCGTTTCATTTTAGTTGCATCACTTTTCTTAAATAAAAGTTTTGAATGAGTTGCATTACTTTTCTTTTTAGTTAATAAACTCTCTTTGTCTCTCTCCTATCATATGAGTCTTTGTTTTTCCCTCTCTCTCTTTCAGCTCCAAAAATTGCGTAGGAGTTTGTAATTTGCAAAGTGATGCAACTAAAAAAATATAGAGGAAGTATCTCTAAACTAGTGTACCAAAAAATCCACAAGAAGATGTAGCCTAATACTACGCTGTTGTTTGGTTAACCTTCATAAATGTAGGAAATGAAAATTCATGTGAATTTGCAAGTGGGCTAGTTGTTTGGTTGACAACAAAAAGTAAAATGGAGGAATTGGAAATCCATGGGAATTATGATTTTCCACTAAACATGGGAAGGCCATGGTCACCTCAAATTTCTATGAATTATAATAAGGCCATTTCTTAGAAATTGTATTAAGGAAATAAATTCCCATGAAATACAGATTACCATAAGAATTTAGTTTCTATGTTAACCAAACAAGCCCTAAGAAGATATATACTCTATCCTGTTTTAGTTGCAACAGTTTGAATTTTACATTATTTATGTGTTTTACTTTGACTAACTTTAATTATTTTATTTATTTACTTATTTATTTATTTTTTCACGATTATAAGATAATTAGCACTTTTAAAACTATACAAATTAATGGCAAATATTCATTCAAATATAGCTAATGGCTACAATATTCAAATAATAACCAAGTGGCCGTTGTGGTGCTGGCGCAACATAAAAAATAAGGAACTTTCTTGCAAAACCGATGTCGTTTTATTCAATTAGAAGACAAAAAAATAATTAAAATAATGAACTTGATGCATACGGTCTAAGAATCCAGTTACCTGTAAGAGAGATGTGCCTCATGGGGTGAGTTACTCACAAGTCACCATAATGATGAGCTGCCCCAAAATATGAGAGGAATGATGTGGGGAGGTTTGTGAGTTACCCATTGTGGGTGCACTTAATTTTTACTCACGTATCAACCCTGGCTATCCCAATGCACAATACTATTTATATTTCTCTTACACTTTTCCAACTTTTTACCACTCCATTCCTCTCTTAATTGTTTTACTTTTTCTTACACGTATTTTGTTTTTTGAAAAATACGAGTAACACATGTTTACAATAAGCAAGTCGAATTTTTGAAAACAAATTGAGTATGAGGTGTATCATTAATATCTTGTATCATTAAAATTTAAAAATATAAATATACTATATTGAAGATTGCACATCTAGGCTAATTCAATAAATAGCAATATATACATCATGTCCTAATCTCCAAAATTAGCTCTTAGTTAAATAATAAATAGTCAATGATATGGTTGCAAAATCATATATACATCCATGTGAGTCACATGTGGACGCAAGAAGGCATTGACTTTAAAGGTTACGTAATAGGGAATTTCAATCAATCCCAAAAATAAAAAAAAAGAAAAAAAAAGAGTAATATTGGTGACTTGGTGAGTGGCATAGATGATGAAGAATAACAGTTATGCTATGGAAGAAGAACAGTAATAGAACACGGAAGAAGAAGAAGAAGACTCTTCTAAACGGGTGTGTTGAAGTAATACGTTCGTGTTCATGTGGAAGCAGTAGATTGTATCCATGGTAATATTGGGTGTTTGAAGCATTGGTGTGTGTATGAGTTTGAATAAGGGAGGTTGTTGAATTAAAATGTTAGTTGGCATAGTAGTAGACTAGCATAGCACCCGTGCAATGCACGCCTTATAAATCTTATTACTTATATCCATTTCTCAAAATTTTAAGATAAAACGGTTTAATGAATATTAATGAATTTACTTACATACATGTCTTAATCATGCATTTTTAACCTCTTAAAATAATAATATATGCTTTAAAGATAACTTTTTAATTCTTAAATTAAATGTAAAGTTTTTAAATATAATTCAACACAATCAATGAACTACTGATAATCAATCCTAACATTGAGTCATTTTTTCTCATTTCTAATTGAGTCACTGGCCATCTCATTTTAAAAATGATTAAATTTTGCCCACTAACTCAATATATACAACGCTTTTTCTGTGACTAGCACGTTTGACACACGCCAAAACACGAGTAACCCCTGACCGACTGAGTGACCCTTGACCGATCGAATAACTAACCCTTGGTCGAGTAACCCCTGACCAAGTAATCTTGGTCACACGGTGTAGCCAACCAGATATGAAACTTTGAGAACTCAATATATACTAGGAAAAATAATTACTATCATAAAACAACATGATCATTGTATTAATATTGTATTACGTATATCACAAATATTGTCATATCTTTTTTCTCTATGGCCCCTAAAACACTTGAAATTTAACATGTAACTTCTAAAAATAAGAATTTTTATATACACATATAGCATAAATATAGTCACATCTTTTTATTAACATTTGATATGTTTAATTACAATTTTTTGTATGCGGCCTGCTATGCCGTGAGACAGGGCTTACTCGAGTTACTCGGTCAGGGATTACTCGAGTTAAACTTGACCGAGGAGAAACTCCTCAAGTTACCCTTGACCGAGTAACCCCTCGAGTAATCCATGATCGAACCCCTCAAGTAACCCCTCAAGTTACCCCTAACTCCTTAAATAACCCTTAACCAAATTACTCGAGTATGTAACCCCTGACCGAACTCCTTAAATAATCCTGACCTAGTAACTCCAGTAGCCCCTAACCGAGTAACGTGAGTAACTCATGACCGAATAACCCCTCAAGTAACTCCTCAAGCAACTTTGAACTGAATAAACCCCTCGAGTAACCCTTGTTCGAACCCCTAAAGTAACCCTTGATCTATAGGAGTTTATAGGTACTAATTACGGAAAACATGAAGCATACTCATAAAGCACCTAATCCAAAGGTCTCATGCATAACACATAAAGAATAAGAATTAATACCTTTGAAGCCTGATTCCACGTATGATCGAGCAAGAACAAAGGAGATAAAGAACCTCAAACGTGATTCATCCACTTGGTCCACGGGCACGGATTAAAACCTCCACTAATGCTATTTAGTTGCAATTGAACCTTTTAATTGACCTTATATGGAGAAGACAGAGCGACGAACCAACCACGAACCACCACACGCGCCACCAAGGGTGGCCGGCCGTACGGTCTAGGGGAGGAGAGAAAGAGAGCCGTGAGTTAGAGAGAGTGTGTGAGGGTTTTGAGATTGGTTGCCTTGATGTCAAATACAATGTGTGTTAATTATGACTTGATTGCAACCCTGGCATGGATCTTTTTTATAGATCACATCTCTAAATAAGAGTCCATGTCAAGCCCGAAATTCTATCTCTAATCTAACTATGCTAGCCCAATCCTATTCATTATTAGTTACTTGCTCATGAGGCCCATTAATGGGCCTCTAACTTGTTTAACCCAATACCCTTGTTGTGTGATCTCATAGGTTCCATTCTAGCGGGTTTTGGACTATTTGACTAGCCCAAAGATCATTGATCATAGTCTAGCAACAGATAATGACGACCCAAAATAACGAACTAATTATCTTCATAATAGTGATCCTTGATATATCTAGTAATTGCACTTATCGAAGACATAATTCCTTCATGACCGAATAACTTGAGTAACCCCTGACTGAATAACTTGGATAACCTCTCACAAAATAACTCGGGTAACCCTTGCTACACGGTGTGGCCTGCTGCACCAAAAACGTGTTGTAGTTTTATTATGTATGTAAATATTAGTTCTCATGTTTTATTTTCTTACCTCGTGGAGAATAAAAAATATGAAATTATCTTGTCTCATCACCTAATAAATTTTATCACATGATGAATTAACCTCATCACTACACCCATATTGCATCTTCCACATCCAAAAATTTGCACATCTAAAAATCTGAAAAGCCATTGCTTATTATAAATTTTTTTTTTCAAAAATTGTAACCTTTAGCTATATATGACCTTAGAAGGATGCGTAGGGTTGCATTTAATTGTTTGATTATTTGTCTTTTTTTTAATTATTATTATTATTATTATTATTATTATTATTATTATTATTGTTGTTGTTGTTGTTTTTGTTGTTGTTACTAATACTACTAAAAAAATTTACATATACACATATATAAGAGAAGTAAAAAAAAAATGCATATAACTTGTACATGTCACTCGTGACGACATATACAAAATATACAACACATTTTCTATATATGCGACTGGCACACTGTGTGGCCGCTTGTAAAAAGAAAAAAAAAAGTCTTATATGTGGCTGGCCACACCGTGTGGCCAACCACTATAGGGGTTACTTTGCTAGTGTAATGGGGGTTACTTTATCAGTGTTAAAGGGGTTACTTCATAATTGTTATAGAGTAACTCAGTCAGTGTTATAGGGTTATGTAGACACCCATTTGTGTCTCCCCAAAACCAAACCCAGTGATGAGTACCTTTCACGTTGAATCATAATCGAATGAAGTGAAAGTGTGGAAAGTCTAGTGTTGCGGATAGTTTTTATTTCTTTTCTTTCTCTTTGTTTTTGAAAACCTATTTTAAGAAAACAGCCAATCCAGTTTGGTTTGGTCCATAGCAAGGGTCCAATAATAGATTAGTTGGGTCGGGTTCGGAAAGAGTTTTCCAACGATATATTATAAGCTCAATTCCAATGAATAATGAGGAAGTTATGGCACAA